CTGGTTGGCAACATTTCATATGTGTTGTCACAATACTCCTGGGGGAATTAAGCTTCTCCTGTATGACTCCACTGAGAAAGGACTCTTAGAAGCTTGTGCCTGGTTTCCCCAGACTTTACCCCATGCACCTTTGCTATTTTGATTTGTATCCTTCCACTGTAATTATTCACAGCTGTGATTACAATTACATAATGAGTCCTTTGGGTCCCCACAGCAAATCTTCAAGTCTTGGGGTCTTGAGGGCCTCCAAACAAAACAAATAAGCATGACACAAAATATCACCTAGGCTTCACTTCCTTCAACTCCCACCATCTTCTCCCCCACTGACAACAACACAAACACACTAATAATAAGATCCAGTAATAGAGAACACTTAAAATGTGGCTATTAGGTAAATTCCAGATCACAAACCCACATTTCAGTACTGAATAACCATGATAAAATGTCAATTTTTTTTAAGTTTTCAGTTAGGAGAGCTCCTACTGATGATAATTAGCACTTTCCTTCATTAAAAAAAATCATTAGATTAGGTCTCATTATGACTTGGTGTATGACCAAGTCTGTATTAAAATGAACCACCACAGCTCCAAAGTAAGTTGAGAAATGATAATGCACCACAAACTACACATATTTAAAGTGTAGAATTTGATGCTTTGGCATATACATACCCCAGTGAAACCATGGCACAATTAAAATAATGACATTTGAATCACCCCCCCAAAGTTTCCTCATATCTTTTTGTAATCTATCCCTCTCTTCAGGGATAGATTGGCAGGCAACCATGTAACTGGTTTAAGGCATTATAAATTACTAGCATTGGGCTTCCCTGGTGGCGCAGTGGTTGAGAGTCCGCCTGCCGACGCAGGGGACTCGAGTTCGTGCCCCGGTCTGGGAAGATCCCACATGCCGCAGAGCGGCTAGGCCCGTGAGCCACGGCTGCTGAGCCTGTGCGTCCAGAGCCTATGCTCCGCAACGGGAGAGGCCACAACAGTGAGAGGCCTGCGTACCAAAAAAAAAAAAAAATTACTAGCATTTTCCAGAATTTTACCTAAATCAAATTTGAAATGTTCATCAGTCCTCCACTCACAAAATCACCACTACAGCCTTATTTATATTCCCAAGAATCTACATCTACTTCCTTCCTTTCACCCATAACCTACTGTGGTAACTACTCTACCTTCTCTCTCTTTATCACTCAACCCACTAGACTTTGGCTTTCTGCCACTATCATCCTATGACTACATGGGATTCTCTAAAACATCACCAATGGCATTCTGTCAAACAGAATGGCCCCTACTCAGTACCCATTCTATTCTACTAGACTACTCTACAGTACTTGAAATCATTAATTACTTTGTTTTTTAAAAACTTTCTTTTCCTTAGCCAGCTATGACCTCCATTTCTCAAAATCCATGTGCTAGTACCTCTTTTTCTGTCCTCCAAGACGCTGGCAGTCTTTAAAGTCTCATTTCCAGCCCTATGCTATCATAGCAGTTGTTGTTATAGCAACAGAAACAAATATTTACTGTACTGTTACCATATGCTAGGCGCTGTGTTAAGAGCTTCATATAAGCTCATTGATTTCTAACAATTCTACAAGATAAGTAATAATGTTACACTCATTTCAAATTACATACAAAATTGAGAGAATAGTATATTGAACCTCCACAAACCTACCACCCAGCTTCAACAATGATCAATGTTTTGCCAACCTTGATTAATTAATACCCACGTACATATTCTTATCCATTGCCATACTTTAGAGCAAATTTCAGAAATTACCCATAAGTACTTAAATATGTATCTTTAACAGGTGCTTACTATTTCTCCAATAAACTCTATTTCATGGTTATACTGTACAGCAAGAGTGAATCTGTGCCTCTGTTACATGACAGATTCCCTGTTGCCAAAGAGACATAATCCAAATTCCTTAGGATTCCTTACAGTCTTTGGTATGTAAGACTCTGTAAATATGGATCCAACGCACCTTCCTGCCTTACCATCCATCACTTTCATCCAGGCACTATGCCCTAGCCAGTTTGGACTATTTACCATTCCCTGAACATGCCTTGCAACTTCACACCTCTATACCTCTGTTTTTGCTGTGTAAAACATTCAATAATGTCCTGTTCCTATCTGGCAGAATTCTAGGTATCCAGTTGACAATTCCTGTATAAGAACTGATCCTGAAACCACAAAATGAAAGTAAATATAAATTCTCTTGAATTTCATTCCTTTTCTCTTGGGCATATGCTTTATAAAATACACAAAATTATCATCAAATATATGTTCTCCTTTTCCTTAATTTTATCTTATTCTCCTACTTTTTAATTCCCAAAACTTAGTATTACATATTACCTGCATATTATACTTCTCTTAAACTGTACAATTTTAATATATGGTCACAAAAATATATAACTGAAAGGGTATTTTATAGTAAAACTTTTTATACAAAGAAATGCTTTACCATTTACTAATTATTTCTGAATGCTATCTAGTTCAGACACTATTATATTTGGGCTAGTTCAAGTTTTATTATTAGTATAAATTGTACATAACTAAAGACATAGTTTAATAAGTTAACTTTTTCATTTTTCTTTAGCCACTAATAGCTATGAAAAACCTATTGAAATTTCTAATTATTGTGATCATAATATTAAGATAAAGATATACAGGGATGCATTTTTTAATCATTCTATGTGTATAAAATCACTAAATGATTATCTTTTACAAACATGAAAGAATTTTCAACATAGTTCCATAAAATACCACTGCCACAGGGTGAAATTTAGTTAATACTGTATTTCCATCTGTTAATTTTTTTAAGTTTAAGAATATAAATACTAGTTATCAAGAGGTATATACATACATGTCGCTAGTAAATACTACAGTAATCTAAGATCCTAGAATGGAGTTGGTATTACCAAAATACACAACCTCAAAAGTACTACATTAGTCCAAACTAAAAAATTAAAGGAGTCTGATCAGACAAAATGAGCTCTAACACTTCTTTTCTTTTTTTCTTTTTCTTTTTTGGCTGCACCGCTCAGCTTGTGGGATCTTAGTTACCCAACCAGGGTTTAAACCCGGGCCACCGCAGTGACAGCACCAAGTCGTAACCACTGGACAGCCAGGGAATTCCCTCTAACACTTTAGATTAGTGTCATCTGGTTCCCTCATTTTGATTAGTTTATCAAATCATTGCTAAGATTAATCACAAAATGGCCTCTCCCACAGGCTCTAAACACCTTTGTTGCAGGAAAAAGAACTTGGAAAACAGGCATGAGATTCTGAACACTTTTCCTTAACTCTAAAATAGAACTCTGATTAATCTGCTGGAGAAGCCACATGGAAAGATAGAGACCTTGAGGTTACAACATGTAGCTATTTCAGTGATCCAGCTGAGGACAGCCTTCTAGCCATCCCTGCCAACATACCACATGTGTGAGTAAACCCTTTTGGACATTCCAGCCAGCTAAGCCCCCAGATAACTGTAGCCACAAATGGTGCCACCTATACAGAATGATGATTAGTTTTAGTCCACTATATTTTGGGGTGCTTTGCATCACGTCCCACTTAACAAGGTTTTCAAGCCACACACTGTGCATCAACTGATATTTTAAAGACAAAAATAAAATAATTTCAAAGACCACTGTCTCCACACTGATCCCCAAACCCTAGTATTCGAAGCAAGATGGTGGGGTGGCTAAGATCACAAATATTAATAAAAATAAATAAATAGTATGTAATATCACAAATTACAGCTTTCCAATCATTTATAAGACTTCTCATTTATTCAAGTTCTAAATTTTTGACAATTTCAAATCAAGGTAACAAACATAAAATACAAATAGAAGTTATTTCCACATGAGCCTTCCTGAGATGGAAATAACACCTGAAAGTGTGTTTTAAAACTAGAGACACAAGGTAAAAAATTACCTATGAGCAGTGGTTCTTAACTGGGGCAATGTTACCACCACCACCCCACCTACCTCCCACCCCCCAGGGCCAGGGCCTTTGGCAATGTCTGGAGACATTTTTCACTGCCACAACTTGAGAGGAGATGTTAGTGAGTGGAGGTCATATATGCTGCTAAATTTCTTATAATGTACAAGATAACAAAGAATTATCTGGCCCAAAATGTCAACATTGCCAAGGATAAGAAGCCCTAGCTATGAGGAATGAAAGTATGAAGATATTGTCTTCTTATGATCACCACCTTAAAAACTAACGAAACAAGTGATTCTACTGGCAAAATTGATGATTACAACTCTGAAAATTTTTATTTTTTAATAAAAATAATGTGATAATTTTGGTATTTTCTACATAAGAAAAAGCATAATACACTAAATATTAAGCCCACAAAAAATATATAAGAAAAACTGATAATAAAAAGTAAAGCAGAAAGAAGTTTTTGCAAATGCGTTACTGGAAAAAAATGTTGCTACATGTATTATAACTACCAATTAAAATATATTTTGTTTGATCAAATTACTATTAATTGGTAATAGAATAAACACATAAATCTAGTCCATAAAATAAGCATTTGGCACTTAAAAGTCATTTAAATTCATATTTTAACAAGAACATTATGATCAACAGAGATGTATCTAACTGAACATTATTTTTAAAGTTTTTTCCATTTTAGAAATAAATTCATCTAACTAATCACATGACTATACAGGACTAGGCCTATGAAAAGTCAATGTACTTTTGTCAACTGTTTTAAGGAAAAAATATTAAATGTCCTAAATAGGCTTTTTCAAAATAAGCTTTCCATCTATTACCATATACACACTTTTCTGTCCTTTTTAAAAAGTCATTTTAATACTGCTGAGACAGAGTAGCATCTGATACAGTTCTATAAAGGAAAGAATGAGTGTGGAGTGTGGTTAGTGTAAAAGATTCAAAGACCGACAAGTAAGAATTGTTTTTATATCAAACAAATATATTTAGGCTGCTTTCTACATTAGAAAAGGTAACAATAAACTTTTCATTACCTTTACATTTGGCTTCTTTGTTGAAACTCCTCTATACCAACCTAAAACAAAGCATACAAAAGATGTTAAAATCATATTGTTGTCACTCTCTGTAAGAGACATTATTTTTAGGATAATTAATTAATGTAAAACTTTCTAGTAAGTTTTAGGCACTTTATGCCTTTATTAAGCGTAGTTTACTCCAAAAGAAATAATCTTACAATAAATACAACATTCCCAATTTTCATCAAAATGTACAAAATCTCTTTCAACTGAATAAGACAAAAAAAAAATTAGAAAAGATTTCAGAGGACACATATTCAACTCCTTGAAAATTCCCAGAGGGAACCGTTAGGGGTTAGGAAAATGCCAAAATCATATAGCTTTTTTGGTGGCAGATAGGGAGTACAGCCCAGACTTTCTATTTCCTGGTCTCACTGACTCTCCCATGCACTAAACTACACCACCCTCATTTCTTGGCTTTCCAGTTGCTGAAGTTGACATCAGTGCTTCATTTATTCCCTCTCACCATTCATAAACAGCAATAACAATGAAAGTTAAAATTACACAATAAAAACAATTTTCAGAAAAAGGAAATTTTTTTACCAACTTTTCTTAAATCCAATCTATTATTTTCAGAGGGTTGCTATAGTTTCTCTACTTGGGTTTAAGGGGAAACAACTCCAATGAGTAGAAGAGGAAGCTAAGAGTTATATTTAAAGGAGGAATATGAAGAAAAAAGAAAGAGGAGATTGTTGATGATAGCTAATATTAACTGAGAGCTTACTATCCTTAATTCCATGTTCTGAAATTGAGTTGTTCCATGTATTAACCTTTAAGTCCCACAACAAAGCTATGAGGAAAAGAATCAACTTTTTCTCCCCTGAAATCATAACAAACAATAAAAAAATGCCCTTATTTCTGTTTAGTACAACACATGAGATCATAAATTTGAATAACTCAATTTACACTTGAGAGTCTCAATATCTTCACTTTTGGTAACTGATAACCTTACCAATGTGACACTTTACCATATCTTAAACAGGATAAAGAATGATATCAGCAGGTATGGCAGAGTAAGGACTGCCAAAAAAACCCTATCCTCAGTAAAATCAATAATAACACTGGCAAACACTGTCAATATCAACTTTTTTAGAACTCTAGAAGCAAACTAAAGACTTGAAATATTCCAAAGAGTATTTATTCAAGAAATCTGAATCTCAGTCAGAACAGCCCTCTTAATTTGCCCTATCCCATCTCCCTCTCCACAGCCCTGTGTTAAACTTGAAAACCAGTCCCACATTCACAGGGAAAACCAGAAAACTAACAGCCCCTGAAGAGGACGGAAAAGAAGAAATGCAGGAAGACCTAAATAAATGAAGAGGTTTACCATGTTCACGAATTATAAAACTTAGCACTGTTAAGATATCAATTATCCCTAAATTGACCTATAGATTCAATTCAATCCCAATCAAAATCCCAGAGAAATTTTTGGTAGGGTATTAACAAGTTCTAAAATTTAAAAGGAAAGGCAAATGACTACTATAATAGTCAAAACAATTTTGAAGGGAGAAAAAATTTGAATGACCCACACTACCTAATTTTAAGACTTAATACAAACCTACCATAATTGAGAGTGTAATACTGGCTAAAGAACAGACACAGAGATCAATGAAATAGACTGTAAAATCTAGAAATTAACCCACACATAAACGAACAATTGATTTTTGACAAAGGTACAAAAGCACTTCAATGGAGAATTGATAGTCTTTCAACAAATGGTGCTGAAACAATCAGACATACATATACAAAAAGAAAAAAAGAACCTCAACCTATACCTTGCACTATAAATAAAATTACCTCAAAATATATCTAAAAGTGTAAAACTTATACAAGGACAAGAGACCATTTTTGTGATCTTGTGGCTAGACAAAGATTTCTTAAGCACACTCCATATAAGAATAGATTTTTAAGGTTATACTCCATTTACAGCTATTATAAAATATTGCTTATACTCCCAGTGTTGTACAATATATCCTTGTACCTTATTTTATACCTAATACTTTGTACCTCTTAACCCCCTACCCCTATATTGCCCCTCCCCGCTCCCCTCTCCCTACTGGTAACTACAAGTTTGTTCTCAATTAACAAATGGGCAGAGACCTGAACAGATACCTCTCCAAAGAAGATATACAGTTGGCAAATAAGCATATGAAAAGATGCTCAACGTCATACGTGATTCAGGAGCTGCAAATTAAAACAATGAGATACCACTGCACACCTACTAGAATAGCCACTATCCAAAACACTGACAACACCAAATGCTGATGAGGATGTGGAGCAACAGGAACTTTCATTGCTGACGGGAATCCAAAATGGTACAGCCACTTTGGAAGACAGTTTGGCAATTTCTTACAAAACTAAATGTACTTTTACCACAAGATCCATCAGACTCACTCTTTGGTACTTACTCAAATGAGTTGAACACTTATGTCCACACAAAAACCTGCACATGCATGTTTATAGCAGCTTTATTCATAAGTGCTTAAACTTAGAAGAAACGAAGATGACCTTCAATAGGTAAATGGATAAATAAAACTGTGGTACATCCAGACACTGGAATATTATCCAGTGATTTTTAAAAAATGAGCTATCAAGCCACAAAAGGACATGGAAGATATTTAAATGCATATTACTAAATGAACAAAGCCAATATGAAAATGCCACACAGTGTATGATTCCAACTATATGACAATCTGGAAAAGGCAAAACCATGGAGACAGTAAGAAGATCAATGGTTGCCAAGGATTAGCAGGGAGGGAGGGATAAATAGGTGAAGAGAATTTTTAGAGCAGTAAAACTATTCTGTATAATACTATAGTGGCAGTTACATGTCATGATATATTTATCTAAACCAATAGTGTGTACAACGCCAAGAGTGAACTCTGATGTAAACTATGGACTTTGGGTGATAATGATATGTCAACGTAGGTTCATCAATTGTAACAAGTGTACCCATTCTAGTGAGTGATGTTGATATTGGGGGAGGTTGCACATGTGTGAAGGCAGGGGGTATACCGGAACTCTCTGTACTTTCCACTCAATTTTGTCTAAAACTGCTCTAAAAAATAAAGTCTTGTTTTTTTTAAACACATTTACTATATGTAATCCCACACCTACGTATTTTCCCAATACAAAAAAAGCCTACACTAAAATCTATACTCATTATTTATAACAACTTTATTCATAAAAATCAAAAACAAAACAATTCAGGGTTTCCCTGGTGGCACAGTGGTTGAGAGTCCGCCTGCCGATGCAGGGGACATGGGTTCGTGCCCCGGTCCGGGAAGATCCCACATGCCGCGGAGTGGCTGGGCCCGTGAGCCATGGCCGCTGAGCCTGCGCGTCCGGAGCCTGTGCTCCGCAACGGGAGAGGCCACAACAGTGAGATGCCCGCGTACCGCAAAAAAAAAAAAAAAAAACAATTCAAATGTCCATCAACTGCTGCACAGATAAATAAAATGTGATTTCAACCTGTATGATGAAATACTGCTAAGGAAGAACACACTACAGATACATATGACATGAATGGCTTTCCAATGCATTATGCTAAGTGAAAAAAGCCAGACACTATATAATGTGTGATTCCATTTATATGATACTCTGGAAAACACAAAACTAGAAGGACAGATCAGTGGTTGCCAGGGTTGAAAGGGGTTGGGAACGAAGTTTGACTACAAGGAGCATGATGTTATATTTGGGGGTGGTGAAAATCTTCTCTATCTAGATTGTGGCGAGGGTTACAAGATTATGCATTTGCCAAAATTCACAAAATTCTTATGACTATACTGCAAGAAAGATGACTCTTCCTGTATACAGGTTACACCTCAATAACCTGACTAAAATAAATACACACACAATAGTATACTTCACATCTACCACAATGGTTAGAATTTTTATTTGAAATTTTAACAGTATCAGGTGTTGGCAAGAGAATGTAGAGCGATCAGATACTGCTAGTGAAGGCAATAATAAATGGTCCCAACTTTCAAAAACAATGCAATATTATCTGCATATTGTATGACGCTGAAATTCTACTCCCATATATTATCCCCTATACAACAGCATTGAACTGGGGATATTACTCACTCTAGAGGAATTTTTAGAAATCTGTGGAGTGGTCTGAGTTACCAGAGAAGATATTAAAAATATTTATATTTTGAAAAGACAAAGATTCTTAGAAGAAAATATAGGAGTAAATCTTCATGACCTTGGGTTAAGAAACAATTTCACACAGAAGCAACAACAAAGTTCCAATTTTTTATGTTTTTATAAAACAACAGTGAGAGAATAACTGGGATAAAATCACATGCAGATTAAGCACCACCTCAAGATTTCAGGTAAGCACTTGATCACATAACATAACATATGTTTACAGAGGTCAGCCATTTCTCATCAAGTAAACTCTCACAATATTGTTTATCAAAAAGCTCTGTCCTGGGCTTCCCTGGTGACGCAGTGGTTGAGAATCTGCCTGCCAATGCAGAGGACACGGGTTCAAGCCCTGGTCCGAGAAGATCCCCCACAGGCCACGAAGCAACTAAGCCCATGCGCCACAACTACTGAGCCTGTGCTCTAGAGCCCGTGAGCCACAACTACTGAGCCCGCATGCTGCAACTATTGAAGCCGGCGCACCTAGAGCCCGTGCTCCACAGCAAGAGAAGCAACCGTGATAAGAAGCCTGTGCAATGCAACAAAGAGTAGCCCCCACTCGCCGCAACTAGAGAAAGCCCGCACGCAGCAACGAACACCCAACACAGCCAAAAATAAATAAATAAAATAAATAAATTTATTTTTAAAAAGCTGTGTCCTTATGAATGAAATATACATATTAGATTGCAATATAAACTCTTCCTTCTTGTTGGGAGGCAGAGGAACAAAGAAAGGGAAACTTAGACCAGTTCTGATGAATAGCAAGTAGCTTCAAAAACACATTATCAGGGACTTCCCTCGTGGCCCAGTGGTTAAGAATCCACCTGACAATGCAGGGGACACGGGTTCA